GTGACTCGCACTATGGCCAGCAGTACTCTTGTGGAGACGATGTCTTCCGTTCTTACACTGGCAACCACCAGCTTCATATTCGGCACCCCCCCCCCCGCGGCGGATCAGATTCGCGTCTTCGGGAGGTCTAAGCGAAGACATTTGAATACAGCCCTCGCACCAACGTCGAATAATAGAAGCTGACTTGGTGTGCTCGTCAAAAATGAAGGTGTGGGCGTTGTTGACTCCGAGAACTTTTTACCGCGTCGGAGGGACAATTTCGCCTGTTGCAGTAGTCGCAATAAGTCAGCAAGTAACAATAAGCAAGGATTCCCTCAAGGGCGAGAACAAGCAAGACTAGTGCATTTCGAACAGAGCGTTGGGGCTTCGGCTTCTCTGGTGCTGATCCAGACCGGAGACTGCTAGCGACACGTGAACGTTTGCGCTTCTTGCCGTATTCAAACGATGACTGAGCCGGCCTTTGATGGTGCTTGGTGATTGTGCCAACCTGCCTGTGTTTTCCGATACCACTGAGGTTGTTCAATTCGGCCAGGAATGCACATATCATGTCATCGAGGTCGTCAAGGAAGTGAGACAAACGAGAGCCAGCAGGACTCTCGAAGCATGAAATACAAGCCCTAAGTCGTCCATGGCCACGATCATAAGATACAGAGAACACTTCGCCCCAGCCACGGCAGCTAACCCAAGCAGTGACTATACGTATTGCGAATACAAGGATTCAAGAGTCAGCAGAATCAGGATCGATCTAGGTTTCAGATGTGGCTACGTCAGACACGTGCCACCGCATTGGTCAAAGCACTAAACACACAGGTCGTTGACGCCGCGCCACTAACCCTGACTTGTCTGTAACGGGTACGTATGTTAGGCTTCGGTCCTTATTAAACTGACTACGGTAAGATGATCGTCCACATCAACACCCTGCGATGGGTCATTTCCCAGCCTGCAGCATTGTGACAGCTTCACCCACTGCCTCGACAGTCATATTGAGTGTGTCAACCATCAACTCTGCTCGCTCTCGACGATTTGACGATTCCCGCAGATGCTTTCGGACTTCACATTGTAGTGAGGCTGTGGGTGAGGTCGCGTACGCAGACACCTTGAGCAAATACTCATCCACTGCGGTAAGCATGCGAAGACCGTTTTCCAAGTTCTCATTTTCCTCCCGGAGCCTGTCGAATTGGTTCCTCTGGGATGAGGTCAAGGCAGATAAGGAATCCAGTAAGTCGCGAATGCAGGCTCCCGATCTTATAATTTGGACTCTGTGCTCGTTCTTCACCGCTGCCGCTGCATCTAGGCGCTGCTGCTGATCTTGAATTGCCTTGCGGGCCGCCTCGTAGCTAATGAATATGCGATTGCTGCTGCAGAGGAGCGCCCACTCGTCATTTTGCGGATCTCTGCTTTCCAAGAGGACCGTGTCATTCTCGAACGGGAGTCCCCAGCAGAGGCGGTAGGATTGGCCCATGCTCGACCTCAACATGAAGGTCAAGGCACCCCTCCATAACGAGGCGTTTGAGATCTCAGGCATCTGTATCGTGGTTCCCAGCGTCGCTGCGACGATGCAAATAGCATTGAATATAATGGCAACTCCAGAGTCGACGCCTTCTGTCTGGGGACACTCCACCTCTCTTATCGATGCCCGTGTGTGGGGCTGGTGGCGATATAATATCTCCGTAGCAGCCTGGGTATGCTCCTCGGCCGGCATCGAGTCCCAGAGCCGGGTCCCGGTAGAGTCACCGGCTGCCAGGAGCCAGTGATCCACGCAGGGTTCAGAGGAGCAGAGATGTATAGGCACAAGGGTAGTCAGCCCGGAGGTGGCAAAGGTGACGGGCTTCACCTGATCGAGCGAGGAAGATAAGCTGGCTTGGGAGGCACAGCCGACAACTCTGATGGTATACGGGAACAGAGCTGCCAGAAGACAGAAGAAGGTGTCAATGACCTTTTCGTTCAGGGGCCGACCAGGCTCGAGGCAATCGAGATCAGCTTGTTCAAGCTCAGGCTGACAGTCGTGTCCAGAAGCTTGGCCTTGGCTGGTCGCCGATGTGGTCTGTGTTCTGTCCTGGGACATCGCCAATTCTGTGGACAATGGCGATTGGAGCCCAGTGCACTCTTGGCCACTGCATCTCTCATGATCCTTCACACCTTGTCTGTTCTTTAGAGCCCGTCTTTGATTACCTGCGACTGAGGGTCGCCCGCGACGCCTTGACTTTTTGGATTCGCTCGCAAGTGCATTGATGGAGTCGGGATCAACGGCGTCCTCCCCGGAGGACTGGCCCACCTGAGGGCTAGCGGCCTGAATGCAACCTGGCTCGAGCCGATGAGGCCCAGACCTCGCGGGATGGATTGAGTCGACAGGCCGTTTGCAGAGGTCTGCTGGGTTGACATATATGGTTTGATCCTCTGTGACAAATTGCGACGGTTTACCTAGAGACGGTCAGCTTTGTTTGCTTAGTTCGAATGCTTTGTTTACTTCTGAAACTCATTGTCTGTGGCGATCTTCGACCTCAGTAAAAGGGACGACAGAACTTGTGGGCAGTACTGTAAGGTACTGTATGTAAATCAGACAAACGAATCAACCATTTCATGATATTCAGACCCGCCTTGCAAAGGCCTTTCATGTGTTTCCTATCTGCCCATGCATAGACTTCGTGCCTGCAAATTTTTCCTGACCACTCCGACTAAACTTGCGTTTGCCAGTTGGTTGTGCCTTTCTTGGATTGGCCGGAGCGGAGTTGGCTGATTGTAGACCAGTGCGACGGGTCGAGCGTGTTTAACTAGACACCAGGTGGTGAAGATTCAATGGACACACACACACACACATTGATCGGGACGCGCACAGTGGCTGCTTCTCTGATTAGTAATTCTCAACCCATGCTAATCAAATGGTTTCTCACCGCACTAAATAGGCATAGGCTGCGTCACAACCCCAACAATCTCCTTGGCCGAAACTTCCTCCACCTCTTTCCAACTTTTGTTCGTATCTACCACCAAGTGCACATGCCGGCAGAGCATACAGTACGAACGTCCAAATTTTGAGTTCAAGGATTGACAACCAGCGTTCCATTTCTGCGGCTAAATCTTTCCGTCATATGACTCAACGGCCCATCTCCCATTCCTCCCGAAACCGGCTACTCACCGGTGGTCGTC